TTTTTGAACTTTAAGAGCCGACTGTTTCAAATTTACAGAGTCGAGCATTACGTTGTTATGAGCGGTGGCAGTGCTGGTGGCAAATAGGCATGCAGGTAATCGATGCGCAAATCATTAACCATTAACAATCCACATTTGTAAATCCAGTGAAAGCCATTCCTATGGAATGCACCATTTTGCAAAATCTAGAAAACGAATAACTATTAATTTTAATATTGATCTTTGCCATATTAAGGTGTATATATTTCACTGAGATTTGCTATGGGTAAAAGCTTCTCATCTTAAGCTCTTGCCATCACGCATTTGGCAGACCGTTGCATAGATAAAAAGAAGACGTTTTTGTCCTCATACAATCAGCTGCCAGACTGTTTCGCGAGTCTAAAAGCTGACGGACATGTCACAGCCTGTCGCGTTTGGTTGGATGTAAGATCTTCGAGCCACCTCAGGCGATTGCTCTATTGTACTGTTGGTAATCGATCGTTCCACGTCACCGGTTTGTTACATTAATGTGTCTATGGTTTGCAACTGGATGACCATTCAGAAAAGTTACTTTTAGATATATCATTAGTGTTGAGGTGATGCCTCTGTCTTCCAAAGTGGAATGACTCTAGGTACTTTCATTCACATAATTATAGGGTTTAACTTTAATGCATCGTTTTTGCCACTTCTGTGCTTCGCATTACCGTGGCACAACCAGTATCGCTGGTTTTTAAAGGATTTACATAATTAATTTATTCAGATGGACATCTATATTCAAGGCATTCCATGCTGCTTGGAATTAAAGTGTTCCTAAAGCATTAATGGGTTTTAATCGAAACTCATCAATGGGTTTTGCTAGGAATAAATATACTGAAAATCAAGGATCATGACATTAACATGTCAAATGATATCTCGGGTTCGATGTGGTAATAGGATAAATACATATGTTCAGGCAAGGCTGCTGCATTAAAATAAACGTTTGGGTTGCGACGTTCCAGCTGCTCAAAGATCATATTGTATTTGCATACGTTATCTATGCGGCATCGCTTGGTTCTTTCGTTTCAACCATGAATTGCCGTCATCTATTCAAAGAACAGAGGCACTACTGAAAATTTTAATGGTTGTCTTCAGAGATTTTACGAACGAAACACAATTCTTCAATCATGCTGGGGTGTTCTTCGACAGGCAGAACTGACTCAAAGGAAATGAAGAACTTTCTCAGTACACCAGAGCTCTTCAATCGACCTTACTTGGCTTCACAACAGGTTTTAATTGCTACGGTAGTAGCACAAGGGCATGCACTAAACCATACTTAGGTCTACGATGCAAACCTGTATTTTTGTTGTCACTAGTATGACACGATACAAGCATTCACCACAAGACGCTACTGATTCATAGTCATTTGATCAACAGACAAAGAACTCACTGAGTCTGACAGTAACAACTATGAATATCAGATGTCCGATTTGGTATCATTTTATTAGGAGTCAAACGAATCATCAAAATTTTCAATCATGATGAATGACTAATGCGCAATGCATTCATCTGCAAATTTTAAAAGCAAAGAAAGCAGTCAGTAGAAAACAGTATAATGTGATGAGTAAGAAGAGGACAAAAAACGGCCAACACCAGCCCAGAGAAAACACAAAACTAAACATTTAAACGACAGACGGAATCAAAACGATAACAGAAAATTAACAACACAAAACAATAAAATATCGATCGTTTACAATCACTGCAAAAGAATATAAGTATAGATATACAATACTGATATATGCGAACGACACGATATGAAATCAAGGAACAACAACAGAAATCAATAGTTAATTCAACAGAAAAAACAGGTAAGCGTTCTATCAAGCGGTAGGCCTCTTGTGCAACAGTGCATTCATTCCTTGGCGTTGACGACCAGTGGCTTTCCTTTCGGGTCGTCGAACCGGTCCATCGTTTTCAAACTGGTGATCAGCAACACACCGAACAACAAAATGGTGAGCAAAGTGCCTGTGGTCACCAGAAAGTTCCATATGCCGCTGGTGAAGAAGCCAACGCAATCAGAAACCTGGTGCGTAAAACCGCCGGATTTCGATTCACCAACAAAGGGCTGGATCTAAACAGGTGCGCTTATTAGTCGCTTCAGATTATGTAAAAAAAGAGTGAAATAGTAATCAATGCAGAGCACTATGTTTCAATCAGTTCAATCATGTCTTTGTTGCTGCCACAATTACGAGTTGGCGTGTTTCGGCGCATCTGTTCTATACAGTTGTCCCCTCCAAGACCAATATGCCGTAAAGTCTGGTTTTGAAAAGGAGTAATCCGCTATCTGACATACTCCGGCGTACGACCCACGCATGACGTTTATGGGGCAACAAATAGAAGTTATTGGCTTCTGATACATCGTCCATGATGAGCGAGAGATGGCTTTAGCGGAAAAGAATGCGACATGCATTTGGC